AAAAGGAGCAAATCAATGAACTGAATTAGCTGGTGACAATTGAATAACGAAAAGAATCTATTTATAGATAGAGAAATTAGCTCTTCTTTCATTCCCAATTCAAATAGGAGAATGAAGTGCTTTTCCCAATTCTATCTGCATTGGCAAACGGAATTACTGTATTACTTTCCAAATTCTACTACTCCATGGATTCTTTTGCTTTTTTCTTTTTTCTTTTTTAAATTTCGTTTAGGCCCATCTAGTTTGAAATAATTACATAGACCTATCCTTTTTATTGGAAACATGGTAATTATGAAAAGTAACACTCTCTAACTTGGAAGTCGATTACTTGGCCAAAAATACTCATCTTTTTTGTGTCGTGTTGCTTTAGACGGTTTTTAGTTAAAGGTGCATCACGTATAACAGGACGTATTTGACTGTAATATAAAGTTAAAACCTATATTATCGTGCATGAGTGTTTGTATGGCCGGGAAGGATGAAATTGGCACATAACTAAAATTTTAAATGTTGTCTTAACATTTGCCCATGTGAAGACAACATTTTTATGTAGTTAATGAAAAATAGCAGTTAAAACAAAAGTAAAAAAATGAGAAAAAAAATATTAAATCATGTTTGTAGTACGTAATTATTTACCCGTAAAACAGTATAATTAAATTTATAGCGTGATTTATAGACAAGCGAATCGATTTGATCCAAAAATAATAAATAAATAAATAAGAATAAAAATAAGATTAATGACTGAAATTAAAAGAGATGACAAGCCTTACTTCGAACTTAATCTTTCCGAGAGCAAAAATAAAAGCAATTGTGAAACTGTTTAGATCGAACGCAAGAAGATAATAGATTATAACTTTTGGGTGCAGAATATTTCATATCCTTATAATGGTTGTTAATCCTTCTATTTATAGCCCTACTTAGGGAGATAAGATCCTAAAATCAAGCTCCTCTTGAATGAGAATAAAAACGTCATTGATGGGTGCATAATGGCTGGATTTGATGCAGATATTCCCTGTAACAGCTGCTCATTAAATACTATTCGATGTCAAACCTTTGAATCTTTGTAGGCTATGCTTCCTTCGGGATCCATCTTGTACCGGTTACACACTTCTCACCCAATGCCAGTTATTTGCTCACTCATCTTTTGTCTGTCTACAGTTTCACGTGTCACCTCGCCATTCGACCACCTGTTATCAACCAATTTCACCTCATACAGATAGTCCCCTTACTTTCCAATGACGCATCTCAGTTTTACCGGGAAGTAGATGAGATTCTCTTCTTGGCGAGAAAGTTCGTGAACTGTCTCTGACACTTGAAGGGATGCACGCCTCCTCGCATTTAATACTCCGAACACGTATTGCCCTGTGATTCAGCAAGTATTTTCGCCGGTTTTCGAGGTAATCATGACCATGTTTTTTGCCATCTATAACTTCTTTGCTACTCATCATTTTTAGTTCTTCACTTTCACTACTTTCACAACTATTTCTCCTTCTCTTAATTTCTTTAGAACTTCTCTAAAATATTCAACCTTCTCAGTAAAAACTTCTTCACCGTTCTTTCCCACCATGTCTTCTCTATCTTCGGAAACACCGGTCTTCTCTTCGGTGGAGGCCCAAAGAAAAATAAAACCAAAGAGGTTGACGCCGAGTCTGAACCTCCAACCGTAAATACCATCATTCCACTTCACCTTAATACTGCGTCAGATCTCCAGGAGCAAAAAACACCCCATATCCCATAATTGGAATGTTTTGGCCTGTTCATAGGTACCCCCTCCTCCATCCGTCCTTCTAGCATCCCTGTTGTGAGGTAGGATTGTTACTGCAATAATATTAAAATCTTTGCCCCAGATGGGGTAGAACGAGTTACCTAATCCAAAGCAGGGTCCATGTATGTCTATACATACCCCTTTAATTTTGGTCCCTTCACCTTGGGGTTGGGTGAAGAACTTGACCCAATAAACTTGGAGTTCTGCCACCGGTACCAGGTCTACTTGGAACAAGTAGGCCCATCTATATGGCGTACAGTGGGTTGCCTTCGTTAGTTGTGCTCTGAGACCGAGGAAACCCTGACTCTTGCGCACATGATGAGTCTTTACACCCCGAAGATTTTTCGCGGGGAATGTGCTGAAACTCAGCAAACATAGTTACCACACCCTTCTCACCAGTGTTTATGACAATAACGACCGTGGCTGGATGGAACGTTTCATCGTCATAGCTACCGGGGACATCATCCCGGCCACAGAGCTAGTTGTTCCCGAATCATGAAACCTTTTTCGTAAGTCTTCATATATTTGTTTTCTTTTCTTCGTGCAAAACTTTCTTCTTAACTGACATTTTATTTCCTTCATTCCAACTACCCGTTGGGAACCACCACGGGTTGAAGGACTGTCCCATTGGGTCTAAAAAATATTGGATATCACTACCCTGTAAACCCGACAATGGAAATAAATGGCTCCCAAATACGGGTGGAGAGCCAAGAAACATGGTCAGCAAAATTCTTCTTTCTTTCAATCTTATCTGTGTAAACATCTTAAGAATAATTCACTAACTGTCTTCTTGTTTGCATAAGGCTTCCGAGGGGTTCTATCATTGCCCTGACGCGATGTCGTCGATTACCCCGAGAGTTGAGCGGATATTGCAGAATACCCCTAACCAGAGTAGGGCTCGTGGATCTGCTCGAGCCTCCGGTGAGGATGCCTCCTCTTGGAGTCCCCAGTCTACAAGCAAGAGACCATAGAGGAAGCGAACCTCCTCTACTAGGATTTAGAGTGAGAAGATCATCAATTGAACCAGTCATAATGGTTACTGATGATGAAGAAAGAGCTAATAATAAAGGCGCCTCTCTTCAAAGAAGAAAAAGATCTTTATCAGTTCAACTGGGTGCTCAGCCATTAGAGCTTCAAAATCCATCGTCAGAGGAAGTTCAGGCGCTCTGGTGGGAGATGGGTTTGGTTGAAAATGCTAATTCCCATTTTTCAATCCCTACTGATGCTCCCGGTCTGAAGAGTTCGGCACCTGATCTTTCTATGTCACTGACTGCTTAGCTGGCCACAACTGTCGCCCCCTCCATACCAACTGCCTCTTCGCCATCTCTACCAACAACTTTCTATCCATCGACACCAGTTGTCCCTTCTCCACCAGAACCAACTACTTCTCCTCCACCAACATTAGCCAAACAAGTAGGGAATGCCACCCCTCCTCGATCTCCTGACCATGGGAATTTGGAAAAGAATTATTCAGCATCTTCCCTAGATCCTCGTGGAATGCGAAGCGCCACTCTTTCGATTTCGAAGGAGTGCTGTATTCTCTCCAAGTCGATGGAACTTGCCAATTACATGAAGCCGCTAGCTTAAATGAAAGACTAGAAGAGGATGGACTCTCTTTTGGGGGAGTTCCTCATAAATAACAACATGCACTTCTCGGCATAGGTAACAATCTCACTCTTTTCCACCTTCTTTAAATTTACATTCGATGTAATAACCTTGGTTTTATCCCTTCTCCAGGCCAACTTTCTTGCCTCTAAGGGCTTACAGAGGTTGATTCTGGACAAGCAAGAGGTTGCTTCAGAATGAGACTAACTCTTGGCCGAGAGGAATCAGCTTGCTAAGCGCCTCTCGGTGCTGGAGGCCAAAGTCGCTCAAATTATTGAGCTCGAGGTTCGACTACAACAGTCCGAGCAAGACAGGATGGCTTATAGCCAAGAATCCTCCCAGCTACACGAGAACCTCAAGGAAGCGAAGGCTAAAAAATGGGTCGAGCTTCACGATGTTGTGACTGTTGCTTCTGAGCATGAGTCTGCCTTCATGGACAAGTTAACAACTTGGAAACTGGCTTACGTGCCAAAAGCGAGGAGGCCACTGCTTCCAAGGAGAGGAGGGCCAAAATGAAAGAGAGGCTTAAGAAAGTCATGGAGCAAAATCGGCTTCAATCAACCACCAATGTTGAGCTTCATTCCGGAATCGGCGTAATGAAGGCTGAAAACGAAGAGCTCCGGGTCAAAATTGACAAACTTCGAGCAAAACTCTTGAAACAAACTCTCTTGTCTTCAAGAAAACCTTCTCCATGTATCATATGAAGAGGAAGACTTTGGAGGAGGCAAAAGAAGGCATTGCCAATATCGATGACTGCATTGCCCAGTCCAGGGGACTGGAGTTAAATGCTCGTGAGAATTTTCCTGCTTGACCCGCTGCAACTGACTCCTCGAATACTAGTTACGAGTATTCAGAACTGAATGGGGGACCGAAGAGGATGAATGCCTCGAGCAATGGAATAACCTTCTTCCACCAGGGAGAATGAAGACCCTTCTCTCCCTTCGGGTTCTGGCAGCAAAGAATAATGTATAATTTTTTTATATTATATTTTATAATTATGCCAAAGTGTTTTACTAAGTTTGTTACTTCAATAATTAAAAAAACTTTTTGCTTAAATGTTGTGCAAAAATAGTCTCTTTACGTTTGATTGAAAAAGCTTTGGGAATATTTTTGCATCCAATAGCTTTTGATTCCGGGCATAAGAATTCTGGAATCTACCCTTTATTATGTGGGTTTTATAAGAGAGGGCCCTTATATTTACGGTGCTCTTGAAGAGGATGTCTCATGTTCATTATGGAAGAAGCATTTGAAGTTTTTGTTAACTCTCAAATGATAAAATAAAATGACTTATCATTCGGACAAGAAATAGGATAAAAACAAAAGGACTTTGATTTATTCCTTATATCTTCGAAAGTACACTTACATAAATATTTATCTGCTTAAGTAAATAAAGCGGCCAATACATGTGGCTAACTTGTAAAACTTATTTCCACGGAGCTGATCATGTAGTCCCCGATCCCGATAAAACATTGATCCTGGTTCTAACAGTCCCCGATTTTGGTGGCACTCTTAGTACCGTATCATGTATTATTCTCCCACAGTGTTCAAATACTAAGTACGAGAATTCGAATACTGGAAGTCTTGCATTCATAGAAGCTTAGAATCCCTGAAAATTGCCACCATTTTCCTCTTATTTCCTCTCTTCTTCCTCTCTCTTTTCACTCTCTCCCCTCTCCCTCAGACCTTGCCGTTCGCCACCCATCTCCGCGCCGAAAATCGCCACTACCGGCCGGCCACCTCCAATCACCCCCAAATTTTCACCAGTTCTCCATCTCAACCCCCTCTCTTCAAATCTACCCTCAAAATCCTCCAGATCTCCACCAATCTCCACAAATCTACCCAAATTTGAAACTCTAGCCTCATCTTCTATTTGAAATTCATCAAGGTTGAATCGCCTTTACCCCCACAATATATACATGAACTTGTAGATATTTTCACGATCTATCACTTTTCATTAATTTCCATACCAAATCTGGCGACCATAATCTGGTCGAATTCTGGCGACCACCCTGCTATCGTACCACTCACCACCACCACAACCTTTAACTACCACAAACTCACTTAGCCCTCTATATTAAAATACATTCGACCTAAGGACACCTCTTTCCTTTTGGTATGACGCCGAATTCATTGAATTTGGAATGTACCAAAATGAAACGAATGTTCCAAGATCAGGCAACCGTTGTCGACGTCCTCAACACCTCATCGCTGCTTGGCTTAACATTGAATCCCCTGTTATGGTAAAATTCTACTTCCCCTTTTCCGTTTCTGTTTTTTGCTTCTGTGATTAGGCTTAGTATTAGTTGAAATTTTTATTTCTTGTTAGGAGTTAATCTATTGCTCGTTTTGATTGTTTTTGTAGTTCTTAGTCATTCCGTCACCACAAGAAACCTGGGTTTTAGCGACGACCTTCTGTGGCGACTGGTTTAATTGCTACAAAAGTGATAGCTGTAGTGGCGACACTTTTTGTCGCAACAGAAGTTAATGTTTTAGGGGCGACTGTACTTAAGTCGCTACAAGTAAGCACAATTTTTTCCTTTCCCGCGTACTCCAAAATTTTTATTTTCCGCTTAGAGCACATTTGTGGCGACTTTTTTTAAAGTTGTTGCAATAGTCCTGTTACAGCGACCAAGTCGCCTCTATTTCTTTGCTTTAAAGTTAAAAAACAAACAAAAATTAATTACACCCCGTCTTTTGTTTATTTTCTTACCAAATCCCCTTTGTCTCGAACTCAAAACCCTGACCGAGCAGCGAACCTGTGAAAGCAGGAAGAAAACCAAGTGACTCCCTTCTCCTCCTTAATCAAACCTCACCCCTTTGCCTCCTCCTATTTTCTCTCTCTAAATCGCTCAACCATTTATATCTAGAGTTGAAGATGAAAGAAGAAAAGGAAGCAAATGATTTAGTTGAGTACCACGAAGTGGCCCTGTGCTGTTTTCTCTCCTTTCCTATGAGATTTAGTAAGTTGCAGAAGTACTATTTTTGAATTTTTATTTTCTATTTTATTAGTATTATTTTTCTTGTTAAGGAAAATTGCTCACCTTAGAGTCGATTTTGTGGTTTGGAATGGTCTTGAGTTTTTCGTAAAGTCTTCAAATGTTCTTTCTTTATTTGGAATTTGTTCAGATTATTGTGATAGCCTTAGCTTGTTCTTTTTTGTTTGTTAATTTATTTTAAATTTTCGTTAAGGTAAATATCTTCATGTTCTGTTACATTCAAGTGCACATGCCTTACTGGGTTCCTTGTTGATTTCTCTACTTAGTCACAGTCCATATGTTTTAACTATTCGGCTAATTTAAGATCTTCAAATGTCATTTTTTCAGTTTCGGCAAGCATCTGCTTGTGCTTAAATTCATATAATTGAGTCAAAAATTGTGCCTTCATATTTTCTGTAAAGGATAAGGAAAATAATGTTATCTTTTTATTAACTAATCTTGAATTGTAGAATGTCTTCTATACTCTTTTTTTTCCTTTGGGTTCTGCTATAGAGTAATTTCAGTAGCTTAAGAGGGCAAATTATGGCTTCCATGAGATGTTTTTAAATTTGGATCTTTGATGATTTACTGATGTTAGAATGGTTTGGCAAGGATTGCTCAAATCATAAATTTGCTGGAGGCATATTATACTCCAGAATGTGCTCTTTTCTCCTGCAGATGGATAGTTTTCGGCATGACCTGGCTAAACTCACCATAGATTTTGATAATATTTCTCTTTACCCCCAATTTTTCATTCCGAGAAGTGGTAAACTGCATCGAAAAAATGATTTCTATTACATAATTTTTAGCATCCGAAATGGATATTAGGAGATTCTGGGTTTCTTATTCCCTTTATCTTTTGGTCTCTGATTGGCTTTCCTTCCATTGCTAATGATATTTTCACTAAAAGCTTCAATTCTTTTTTCCTGTTAATAGGTATGATTTTGGTGGTTATTGGCCTAGTTTGATCTGATTCATGAAATCTCTCTTTGCCTCTGGAGAAGGAAGTGCAAAGAGTAAGCTTTCTGTTTGAACTTTGGTTTGCAATTATTATATTCATATACTTTACTTATATAAAAGTTACTGGAAAGTCTCTCTTAATGTTCAGATTATGTTTCATCGATACTTACTCTTTCCAATTTGCTTCGTGTCCCTGATCATGCTATCATTACAGTCAATGTAATTGTAATAGGCACCTTGCACCAAAAAAAGAAAATAAAAGGGCTTTGCTTCTAATCTCTTTTTGTGGTTTCTTAAGGTGAATTCATATATTTATCCCTTCTTTAAGTAATATTATGTCAGTAATGGACTATTATACTGTTATGTGGATTCCTAAGCATGGAATATACAATTGTTGTTTCAATATTCTACTCTGCCTTGTTTTTCTTTCTCTTCTCTTCTTTTACTCATAATAAGAATGTGCTCCTTAATTAATGCTCTCTGTAGTTTTCAAGATCTTAAGGTGAAGTTTGCAGTTCTTTCATGAAGATAAATTTTCATTTGTTTCTTAGTGTAGGACCGTATGTTGGTAATGAAGAGCGAATTCATTTATCAGGACACTTGAAAAATTTGGTCTTTCCAAGATACTTTGACAAACTTAAGCCTACATATTTAAAGTCTCTTGTTGAATCTCAAATATTAAAATTAGCAATAATGCTTGTCAAATGTACATTAAATAAAAATTTAAAGAAAAAGCAAGAAAGAAATAAAAGGCCATACAGGTTGGAGATTTAGGGGGTTTAGACTGCCATAAAACCCAAAATAAATGTACATCTTTGCCTTGCTTATGCATGAAGCTAACCTGGTTGGATTGAGAAGAAAAATTGGATGCATGTGATTAGCTATACACCACTTGTGTTACTTTCTTGAATGGTAATTTCACGTGTAATATTATATAAGCCCTTAACTCTTATGATTGCCCAATTTATAATAAATTAACTTGTTAACTATCATGTACACAAAATGGTAACTATCATACCCCAGGCCTTGTCTCAAGTAAACGTTGTTAACTATCATGTACACAAAATGGTAGATCTTTTTGTATATTGTAAAGGTAAATTCACAAAATGGTAGATCTTGCTATGTCTGAAGCTAATATGGTTGGTAGAGGGAAATATTTTGATTCAATATGTAAGGTTTTAGTTAAAAAAATCTTTTATTCACTTATGTACTCTTACGAATTCTAGTTTCATTATGTAAAGCCAAACACCTATAAATGACTCCTCAAGTTTTAAATATTATGTATGTACCAACGCTACAAAAAATTAAACTTTGCTTCTTCTCCTAGACAAGGTAAAGATTTGTAAAAAGTATTGTAATAACATGATATTTCTTTTCAGTAATGTAGCGTGTCGAAAGTATTCATTAGAGAATTCTATTTGTCATACCATTTTGCTATTGCTTAAACACAGGGATATGTGATCAATGTTCCTTCTAACATATTAGATTTGCATAACTGATTATGTTTTTTACTAGGCATAAAATGCAAATTCAGTGTTTGTCCTATCTTTCTTGAAAGACAATCACTTCCCACAGTTCTATATAGTTTTAGTTATCCTTCCCCTTTTATATGATTTCCTTTAGTATTTGACTTTGGATGCATATGTTAATGTTCTTTGTTTTTTTTAATAGCAAGGAAAAGTACAACAGGGAAATGAAGTTTCTCAAGGAGTAGTTTGAAGACATTGGAGTAGCTTGAAGACAAGATCCTTTGCATTTTTCTTAAATTGTAGGGATAAGGTTCTTCGACATGTAGGAATTGGAACACATTTTGTTTCTTTCTTTCTTTCCTCCATGTGTATATACGATGGCAATGTATTATGGAGCATTCTATATATACTTTGTTGCATAGACTTTTTTGGTAATAAAAAGTTCCTATATAATTTTGTTTGCCTATTTGGTGGTGTTCGTTATAATATTAATGTTGTTGGGTAATTAGTAGGAAAATAGCTGGCTAATAAATTATTATATTTTTTTTTTCAATAAAAGAAGCTTTACTGGCGACCCTAGCTGCTCAGAAAGATTCTTCTGTGGCAATTATAATGTCGACTGAATCTTTAGCGGCAACTACAATCGCCAGTGTATGTCACTCTGTAGCAGCAACCTACCTAAAATCTTCTTTGGGGGAACATGTGTTGGTGGCGACAAGGATCGCTACAAAATGTATACTATTTTGGCGACTATCAATTGTCGTCACAAATAACATTCAGTTACGTAAGTACTTGAAGCGATCGAGTGGTCGCTGCTAAAAACATTTAGTGGCGACTTTGTGAGTTTTTGAGCGACTTTTGTCGCCACAAAAGACCGGTTTCTTGTAGTGCGTGTAGATGCTTGGTTATTAGTTTGAGTAGCAGCTGCTTGTCTATTGATTATTGAGGTGATTTTGTTTATTAATATGATTTAGGTTATGTTTATTTAAGTGTTATTAGGTTCTGTTTAGTTAAGTGTTCAAATTAGTCATGTATTTTATGAACTAAGTAATCGGTATGTGATTAGGCTTTCATCACATGTTAAGTTGATTGTTTTTTATTAATAATCATGTATAACGCATTTGCTTGGATTTATTTTAGTCATTAGGTTTTGAGTTCTCTTGATTAATTAATAGTTTAGTGTTAAGGTTTAGTTACATGTTTGTGGTATTTTAGTTGAGTTCTAGTTACTTGTTTCTTGTTTTGGTTTTTTACAAATAGGGTGATACTAATTTAGTTAAAAGTTAAAGATTAGTTAGTTTGATCATGATTTAGGGTACTAGTAGTTTGCTTTTCACTACTAGATTAGCTGAAAGGACCATTTTTCTCTGTGACTTCTACCATTATAGGTTTCAGGTTGTCTTTTCACCTTTTGGATAGTCCTTGGATAGTGTATTAGCACACAAAGTCAGTCCTTTTGGACAGACTTTTGGTGAAATAAAATCTCTCCAAAAAAGTTGCTTTCTTTCCTACTTAAGAGGTTATATTTCCACACTTTAACACACGCACCATCTTACAATTAAATGTCATCTTTTACACTAAAAAAGAGCACATATCTTTGAGAAAATCAGCAACTGTACACAGATTGCAAGCTGAAATTTCAGAGCTTGGTGAGTATTGTTTGTGCGCAAAATCTTTGGGAAAACAGAAAGATCTCTTAAGTAATTTCTGGGTTACTAGTTGCTACTTCAAGTGCTTTCTTACTGGGTTTTTTGGGGGTATTCCAGGGTTCTGAACTGCTATTTTTTGCGGTCTGTTTGGTGATGCTGCTGTTGGGTTCTAGTTTATGTTGTGTTCGTTAGTTCTACATATTCATAGGTCATTTTGTTGCTAAAATTCTGCAACTAGGTAATTCTTTAAACCTTCAAAGTAATTTTCTTTTACAATAGATAATGAAGATATTGTTGTAGCGACCCGACCGATCGTTTTGAGCTCTAGCGCGTCATTAAGCGGTTTGAGGCCTTGAGCAGCTTCACTTCAGGTATTATGACTTGCACGTGTGGTCGGAATTTAATTTCGGGAAGTTCAGAGTTGATTCAGATGGAAAATTCTCATTTCGGAAGCCTTAAGTTGGAAGAGTTGACCAAGGTTTGAGTTTTAAGTAAACAACCTTGGAATTGGGATTTGAAGGTTCCAACAAGTTCGTATGATAATTTTGGACTTGGGCGTATGTCCGGATCGGGTTTCGAGTGACTCGGTCGGCGCTTATTATGGAGAGTTGGCATTTTGGAAGAATTTCATGAATTTGGGTTGAAGTGTATTTCAATGTTATCGATGTCCGGTTGGGATTTCGAGCTTGGGAATAACCCCATATGGTGATTCTGGTGTTAGGAGCGCGTCCAAATGTGAATTTGGAGGTTCGTAGGTCATTTCGGGGTCATTTGGCGGAAATTGGAAATTTGAAGGTTCCTGGTTAGTTTGATCGGGAGTGGACTTTTTGATATCGGGTTCGGATTCCGATTCTGGAAGTTGGAGTAGGTTCTTAATATCAAATGTGACTTGTGTGCAAAATTTGAGGTCAATTGGATGTGATTTGATAGGTTTCGGCATCGAATGGAGAAGTGTGAGTTCTAAAGTTCATTAAGCTTGAATTGGGGTGCGATTCATGATTTCAATGTTGTTTGATGTGATTTGAGGCCTCGAGCGATTTCGTGTCATGTTTTCGGACTAGTTGGTGTGATTGGACGGGGTCCCGGGGTCCTCGGGTGTGTTTCGGTGTGGTTTCGGACCAAGTTGGGCTGCTTTGCAACTACTGGTGTTGGTGTCTAGTTTTCTTCTTCGTGAACGCGAAGGGATTCACACGTTCGCAAAGAAGGATTTTGTGCATTGCGAATGCGACTCCGTGGCCGCGAACGCGGAGGGACAGTTGGTGCAACCTACGCGAACGCGACAGGAGGGTCGCGAACGCGTAGAAGGAAAGGGGAGCTAGGACCTGGAGCCATTAAGCCTTCGCGAACGCGAAGAGGAAATTTGGAGGCAGTGCATTTTGGCCTCGCGATCACAATGGTCTTTCCACGATCGTGAAGAAGGACGGACCGGTCAGTAAAGTTTTAAAACGGGGATTTGGCAATTTTCATTTCATTTCCTCCATGGGAGCCGACCTTGGAGCGATTTTGGAGCACCATTTTCAGCATCAATCATCACAAGGTAAGTGATTCCCACCTATTTCAAGTTAAATACATGGTATATATATGGATTTAAACATGGAAATTAGTAGAACTTTGGGATTTTGAAGAAAAACCTATAAATTGGTATTTTTGGATTTTGACCACAAATTTGGGCATGAAATTGAGAATAAATTATATATTTGAGTTCGTGATGTTATGGGTAATATTTATTTTCGAAAATTTTTGGAATTCGGGCATGTGGGCCCGAGGGTGACTTTATCGATTTTCGAGCGGAGTTGGAAATTATTATAAATTAAATTATAATGAGTATTAGAGTATATATTTATGGATTTGCATATTGATTGACTAGTTTTGGGGCGATGGGCATCAGTTTGAGTTGTTGGAAAAGCTTTGGAACCGGTTATGGAACTTCGGAGCAGGTAAGTCTCCTTTCTAACCTTGTAAGAAGGAATTAACCCCATAGGTGAATTGATTTAATATGTGCTTCTATTTGTGGGGGGCTATGTACGCACGAGGTAACGAGAGTCCGTACGTAGCTACTAATTATGCTTATGTTCGGGTAGTTTGGGACTCAAATCATGTTATACTTGCGATGTTTTCACCCAACTTGCTAATATAATTGCTTTAATCATATCGGAACTTGATATTGGAATGGTAAAAGGTCGAATTTCATTTACTTGAGTTTTGTATGGGTTACTTGACCGTTAATGAGAATTTGGTGTTTCTTTGAATATTAGCCTCTTAATAATCTTGAATTGGTTGTTTATAAAGTATTTTCTCTTCTTGTGGAGCGGGCCGAATGCCTCGGTAGTAGATAGATGCATCTATGGTTCGTGTCCTTCGACCCTCGGTAGCGCACAATTTATATATTTGTATGTTGGATCGGGCTGTACGACCTCGGCATAATTCGTGCGTAAAAAAATTCGGGAGTCCAATTATAATCGATATTGTTTCATTGGCTTGAGCGATTAATTTGTTAAATGATAGAAATTAATTTGGGATTTACTATTAGTGAAAGAATTATTTATGTATTTCTTGTTATTGAGTTTCCAACTGTATTTATATAATCCATGCATAATTATAATGTCGTTACTTTCTTGTTAGCCCATAGTAAGTGTCGAAGTCGACCCCTCGTTACTACTTTTTCGAGGTTAGACTAGATACTTACTGGGTACGCGTTGATTTACGTACTCATGCTACACTTGCTGCACGTTTTGTGTAGGTATATATATGTCTAGTGGTCTTGTGGGTGCAAAGGCGTGGCTATTGCGGGGACTTACGGTGAGCTGCATTCCATGTACGAATCCGCAGCATAAAGAGTCCCCGTCAGAGTTATTTACATTGTCCTGTCTAATTTATATTCTAGACAGGTGTTGTATGTTATCATATTTCCTAGTTGATACTCATGCACTTATGACACCGGGTCTTGGGGGTTCCTACTGGATGTTTGGTATGGTAGTTCACGTAATTATTATTGTTTCACCCTGTAAATTCTATTTCATATTATTTAATCAATGGAAAGTATGATTTCAAAAGTAATAAAAGTGAGTAATTAAGTGGATTAATCATCGTTGGCTTGCCTGACGGTGGCTTTAGGCACCATCATGACCAATAGTAGATTTTGGGTCGTGACAACTTGGTATAAGAGTATCAGGTTCACTTAGGTCTCACGAGTCACGAGCAGGTCTAGTAGAGTCTTGCGGATCAGTACGGAGACGTCTGTACTTATCTTCAAAAGGCTACAGGGCTGTTAAGAGCTTCCCTTCTTTATTCCCCATCATGCGATTTGATTCCTTTGAGGCTTATGCCTTCATATCCTTCCTACTCATTCTTATACGATGTTTAGCGCTCGTGTCATTGGGCATCGACGAGTTGCAGTGGTACTATAGACGGGGAGCAGGATGTTTCTCCGTGCGCATTCGAGGAAGTTATTATCGTCTTCTTGCGGAAGGATGTTACGTCATTTCAGCTCAACAGCTGTATTTCTGATGGTTTTGAGGCTATGCCCGGGATTGCCATGATGTTCATAAGTTGTTATCGCACCATGTTGGTGTTATGGTAGAGTGCTTATTTATGGATCGCGACAGTAAACGACTTGAAAGGAGGATTTCTCAGTTCACAGCTTAGAGGTTTAGCATTGTTACACCCCATGTTTTCATAAGTGAAAGTAAGCCATAAGTAAATTGATGAAAGCTCGGAAATGAGATGTTACATTCCGTATTTTCGTACGTTAAACTTTTGTTGTAAGTTAATCGACGCAAGTTCGGGAATGAGATTATTTTGGGATTATAAGTATTAT